GAAATATACAATAATACATTGGCAAACTTGCCTTGATCTATCCACTATCCTTCACCTCATCCTTTCCTCTGTCATTCCTATCTGCTCTCACTCCAAATCCTCTATAACCCCTTGCGTGCTAGTTGCTTCCCACCTTGCTAGGGGTGAAATGCTTAAAAAAAATACTATTGTTTTTTTTTAAGTTCTGAATATATTTTTTTTTAAACAGAAAAGCTTTTCACATTCCCATTATCATAGGTTTGAATTTCTTGCATCTGATTGGTGGAAAAATCCCCTATCGATCCTATTTTTTTCTAGAATATTCTAATTTTATAGCACCAGAAAAACAAACTCAAATAAAATTTTCCTAGCTGTTCAAATATATCTTTGTGTTGTACTTTCTCAAACACTTTTGCCTAATCTATAAAATATTGGCATACATCCTTTTGCATTTGTATTACTCTGCCTGATATAATTCTGACCATAAATATAACATTCCTTGTTCCGATAGCTTTAATGAACCATACTGTTCTTGTCCTATTTCTGGTCTAATTCTGCTGTATGCTCTATTCATCAAAATTCAGATAAGTTTTATGTAGCTCATTAGGTAGATTGTCTGATGTATTTCGCTTTCACCTGGCTTCTTAGGTAATGCTATGAAAATGGATCTGCTTAGGTCTTCTATATGACAACTGTTTTATATTTCATTTATTATGTCTGTAATTTTGTCAAAGCCAAAATCATCCAAATCTGCTCGCATCTTGATTACAATTCCGTTTTGTCCCTGTTCAATTTGACCCTTGGCTAATTTCATTTCAGGCTTTTATATTTCTGGTCCTTTATTATTTCACTGTATTTCATGTTGTCTTCTTTCATTGTGGAAAAGTTTGCCGATGTATTTTGTTCCATCTCTGAAATATTTTTTCTTTCTCCATTATCAGTTTGGATCCTTAGATTTTATGCATCCTGTTGATGGACACAAATTTTGTACTACTAGTTCTATATCTGCATTATCTGTAACACCCATTCTCTCTATTTCTGCACTTTTCATTGAACTATTCCTCTTTAGCCTGGATGCATTTATTCCTAATTTCTTTGTGCAGTGTTCTATATTCTGTGTCATATCTTGACATTGGAATGCACTGTCACCTTTTCATCATGTCAAGAATTTAATTCTCACCCATTCATTTTTACATATTTTCTTTGGGATGATCTCATTTGCTACATTTAATGTGTCCACTTCAAATTTACGATCTTATTTAGTTCGTTTTATTTGCTTTTAATGTTTTCCATATACTTCTCTTTTAAATTCAGGACATTCAAGAGTCTGACTTATTGCAATTTGAGTTCTGCCTTGACCCTTTTCAATTTCCATAGTTTCACTTTAAGGTTACATATTACTGAAAGTTGGTCATTCTTTATACTATTTATATTTTAGCTGTTGTGCTCTCCAACCTCCCTCAGGTGTATATCAATATGGGTAACCTACAGAGAATTGAATCCTTTATTTAATCTACAGGGATAGAAAAAAATTACCTGTGCACCATTGGATCAATTTTTCTCTGCTTTCATCATGAATTCTGTTGTAGCATACCTACAGATGATAATGGACATGTTCCCATTCACATGAATACAGTAGTAAAAACTGTATGTTGGTATACAGTTGGAGATTTATTGTGGAATTCACTTGACTCCCTTCTCACAATTGACTATTTCTTCTATGTGCCACTGGCAAATCTTATATGTGTTGTTCTTGTCCTAAGTATTATCGTTCATTACCAACTTTTGTATGATTCTTCTATTCAGTAACCTTCCCTAGGTTACAACAAATTCTTAGTCCAAATTTGCCAATTATTTCACCATCCCTCACATTCCCTGCTTTGGCATTCAGGCCTCTCATGATGACTTTGCATTAAGCCTTGGTGTTGTCTAGTAAAACATTTCAATTTTTTGTTTCCTTTCTTTGTGCTGTCAGTGTATATACAACTATGATGAAGATGTTAAAAGGCTTCCCTTACAGTTTAACTTCAAGAATTCTGTCAGTTGATCATATCCCAGAACACATTTCTTCATATCTTGGTCTACTATAAGTCATAGTCTCCTCTCATTTTTCTCTCCACCTGCACATATGACCTCATGTTTGGCACTGATGAAATACCCATTGTTTGCTCACCTCATTTTACATGGTGGACTCTCCCTATCGTGAATGACAAATGGATGGTGCCTTTTGTTATACATTTATGCATGCTAGCAGAGGATATTATGGAGAAAATCAGGTAAGGGAAAGACATATTTCATTTGTGCTTTCTTAAGTGTGTAGACCAGCCTTGCTGCAGGCAACAAAGCCACACTAACAGATTAAATTTTTTAAAGCATGATTTTGATAGCATCTCTGCTTCAGAACTTGACAAAGCTGATCACGGTGCTTCAGTTTACTGTCTTCAAAACTCTTTAACTTAATAAAACATGTCTTACGCCACTCCTTTCGGTTTGAGGCTTTGGCTTCCCAGGTTTTCAGATCAAAGATGAGACGTTTCAAGTTGTCTTTCAATTTGTCTTTGTAGCGTAAAAGTGGACGTCCAACTGAACGCTTGGAGTTTGGCAGTTGTCCATACAGAACCTTATTTAAAAGCCTATGCTCATCCATTCTCACAATATGACCAGCCCACCTAAATTGTATCTTTGCTAGAATGGTTTCAGTGCCTTTGATGTTGTTACATTTTTTCAGTATAGCACTATTCCTAACCCTGTGATCCCATTTTATATCACATATGACAAGAAAACAGTGCATAGGAAAAGTGTCAAGTTGATTTATGTGTTTGCGGTACAGGGTTCAAGTTTCAGCACAATAGAGTTGAGAGAATGACGGATCTGTATATGTCAATCTTTACTTTGAGAGAGACGTCTTTGGTGTTCCATAACATGTTGAAGATTACTGAATGCTGTGCCGGCTTTGGCTATTCTGGATTGGATTTCTCTGCCCATTTTTCCATCAGAAGAGACTGTTGATCCAAGATATGTGAATGCCTCAATCAACAGTTTTTAATGTCGTACCATCAATGAATATGGAAATATATATATATATATATATATATAGATAGATAGATAGATAGATAGATAGATAGATAGATAGATAGATAGATAGATAGATAGATATTTCAAATTTGCTATATTTATGAAGGAAGGGTGCTCAATCTTCGTGATAGAACGTTTATAGATATAGACAGTGAAAATATATGAATCAACACTATATAATGATTACTAGTTTCATATTTCAGTGTGATATCCCTACAAATTCTGTAAGATCTCATTGGTCTTAATATTGCATTGAAGCATGAAACTTTACAGTCACTATGCACTGTTTATTCCTATGTCCACAATGTCTATATCTATAAATGTTCTATCTCCGATACTAAAGGGCTACACACACACTCTAAGTTCCAACATGTTAGAATACGTCAAATTTATCGACAGATTTAATATTCTTACATTTCTGAAGGAAGCACACTTCAAACTATCTCTTGAGGAGGAAAGTTTAAAATTACTTAATTCGTGTCAATTTTGCATCCCTATGAAAATGGAAGATTATAAGGTGCATTTTAGATACGTGATGCTTTTTTTACTGTAAAGGCAAAAATGCTTAGCAAGCAACAAAAAAGACGTGCTGTGTAAAATGAAGTTGCTTTATCTGACAGATCTGTACAGAAGTGGTTCGCTAAGTTTAGAGTTGGTAACTGTAGCCTTAATTTTTCTATAATTTAAAATCGTCTGCTTCATTCAATTATTTTTTCTTTCTTTTAATTTTCTATGAAGAAGCCGAGAACAAAATTGGCAGTTTTTTTCCTATGTCTTATTAATAAATTATTTATTTATTTTTTAAGTTTAAGATCGTACACAGGTAATGGTTAAATCTAATTAAATTAAATTTTAATTAGATTTTATTATTTTTTTTATTTTTATTCAAGGGAAAAAGCAGATAACATAAAAAACGTTGTTTGTCAAAAAATCACCAAGGAAAAAGAAGAAATTACTTTCAATATTAGTTTTTTCTGTTTGGTATTTTTTTATTTTTTAATGTATCGTATTTTTTATCAATAAAGCAAAATAGCTCTCTTATTCATGGCTAGTGTTTAGTTTGTCAGTGTTGAATTTTCTCAATAAATAAATTAATTAATTAAAATAAGAACTCAAGGCAAAAGTGGCGGTTTAACTGAGATCCTGGGGAGAGGATTACGTTGTTAATCTTTATTTTTTTTTTTTAGGGGGATAAAAAAAAAAGATCTGCCTCTACAATGCGATGTGAGTAAAAGAAGAAAGAAAAAAGAAAAGGGGAGGGCGTAATTTTTTTTAAACAAAAAAATACTCGCTTCGTCTTCTTTAGTCAGTGATTTACAGTTGTTTTATTATATTTTTTCTTTTCTTTTTTTTGAGGGGGTTTTTGAATTATTAGAATAAAACATTTAAAATAAAATTACTCATTTTTTAAACGCAACAGAAACCGAAAGGCCGAGGTCAGTATAATTAAAAAGTTGGGCATATTTTTCGCGTGAGTAAAGTAGGAATAAAAAATAATTTTATTTTTAAATCATAATGGGTAAGAAAAGAATTAAGGATGGTAAAGTGTTTTTCATCTATTTTTTTAGTGAAAAGATTAATTTTTTGTAATTATTCAAAGCTGTTTTAATAATTTTAATTTATTGGCTCTGGAAACGATTAAAAAAAAAAAAAAAAAAACTGAAGCAAGTTAATTTTTTTTCAATGTTTGCTTAATGACTCCAAAATGTCATTGATATTCAAATTATCGATGACAATAAAATCCTTTTTATTAAAGGAAGTAATCTAAAAAAAAAAAAAATGCTGTTTAAAAATCAATTTCAACAATTTGACATCAACACTGTTTTGGTTCGACGACTCGCTTTGTTTGCTAGCGGTTTGTTACGAAACGATTGCTCCCTATCTCAAAAATGTTCTGTAATAATGACACTTCTATGATTAAAACAACATAAATAAATTATATTTACCTTGATTAATCTGTGTACCTCATCGCAATCTTCAACGCGACCAGGTCGAACGATAAATTTTTCTGTCGTAGTCATGCTGACATGAGTTGAAATGAATCTGATGATGACAATTGCATTTCCAAGGGCAGATAATTCTAACGGATTATTGCTTGATATTCAGCTGACATTATTTATTGTACTAAGGTACAAATGTGGCACAAGGCCGAAAAGGGGGTTGGGGTAAAGGACGGTCATCACTTGTCTTAGATTAAAACTTAGCTAGCCACATCCACTGACCCTATCATACTGAACAATATTCCTTTCACCAAAACAACACATTTATCCATACCTTTCTTTACTACATACACCAAAATGCCTCTTTGACTCCATGAAAAAACCTAAATAATCCCTTATGTACAAATATTGTCTGTGGGGGGAGGGCATAAAACACAACAACTTCTAAAAAGATCCCCAATGAAATATATACAAAATGACAAAATAATATTTACAAGAAACCAAATAAAATTAGTGTTAGTAATAAAACCCCCCACAAACTATTGAATGTGGCAGAAATATCAGTTAACCAGACGAAATCGATGCGGGACTTATGAAAAATAAAGCCACACTCATTCATCCCAAGCATTCACACAGGCACACACTCATTCATACACAACAACAAATACGAAAAACACACGCACGAAAACGAAAAGCGCCCCGCATCTACCAGAGAACTGACATCACTGACCACCTAAAACGAGGGAGGGATGGGGAGTTAAACTAAAGGAAAAAGAAAATGGGGACAGAAATAAAAGGGGACCAATGAGCAAATACACCTAGATAAGTTTACCAGAATAGAAAAACTAAAAGAAAAAAATACAAAAACCTAATCTATCCTAACTCCGGGATGGGTTGCCTATGTTAAACCCAGGAAAACAATATCCTTAATGCCTAACCGGCATCCAGATGCCACTCAAGGTCAGCCCTTTTACTCGGCACATTCGCGCAAGAATCACCCACCTTTTGCTGAATTCCGATGAGGTGAGCCGCCGTTTTTCCGTCCTGATCTTGACTTTAAGCTGATGCTTAAAGAACAAGATCAGTTGGGAAGAAGTGAACTTCTCGCCCTCATGGAATCCTTCTGACGCGTCGTCCAAATCACGACTCTCATAACCCCTAGTAAGCAACAGAACACATAGTGTTCAGCCTTCGTCATCTGCGGCACCACATTGCTACAAACAGAACTGGCTTCCTTGATATTCAGCTGACAATATTCACATAGTTTGGGTTTTTTTTTATGTAGCATGTCCGTTTAAAAAAAAAGTAGAACCTCATTTTAACGGACTAATAGTGTGTGGGGGAGTCCTCAGTTAAAATCATTTGTCCGTTAATTTGAAGCACTTTTTTCGTGACCTAAAAACACCCAGTACAGTACGAAATTATTGTATAAATAAATACAGTTTGTATTCTATTTTTACCTTAAAGTTTGAAAAGTTTTAAAGATAAATCCGGAGTCCGTTGTTTCCGTGACTGTTAATTCGAGGTTTTACTGTACGTAGAAAATCATGGCTCTCCACAGTTTCCTGTCTTCTGCGGTTTGCTACTTGTGACCTTATTGTCTCTCATTGTCACTCTTTTGCTAACCGTTCACTTAAACTTGTAAAGTATTTATTTACTTGCTCTTTTAGTGTTCTACTTCAATTTAATTATATTTCATTTGTCATCTAATTCCATTGGTTAAAAAAGATTTCCAATACATTTCCTAGGTAACAGTACTGCGATCGACAAAATCTGTAAAAAAAAAAAAAAGTGAATCACAGAGCCTTGATATTTCTCTGACTCCTGATTGGTCAATTAATGCTAATACCATGCTTTCGTCTACGTCCGCACGGTTAAAATTACTTTACCGCCAAAAATGTGTCTATGTGTTTCGAGCCTATCACGTGACATACAACATTATAAATACTTAGCGACATCTTTTTTCTTCCTCTTTCCTGTCTTCTCAGACCCTGCAGCAATGTAGTTCTGTTGAAAGGTCGCGTTTGTCTCTTTAAGGGAAAACGTTATGAAGACGCTATCACACACACACACTTCTAACAGTGAGATTTTCTTCAGCAACAAACATGCCGTCCAAGTGGATACAACTTTCGCCTCTTGCCAATATTCACCAGCGAGAAATATTACTTCAAAATCTTCTGCAGCTATAAGTTTCGATTCATCATATTCTCAGCTTTCACTCATATTAATCTCTTGTGGAATAATGTATTATTCCATCTACGACATTTTACGCGCGCGCGAGTTTCCTCCCTTTCTTTCACACTCGCTGGCGCGCACGCGCGTTTGACACCCCTTTCTCCCTCTTTCGGTCTAATACAGTAGTAACTGTTTTGGTCGGCAGTCAAACGACCTGCTATGCAAATTAGATTTTTGAAATCTTCCCGCGAAAAAAATTTGTGACGTCAACGACAAACTGTTGTTTCAAAAAAGTCAGTGGTGATCCAGACTCGTACCTAAGCAGACTCATTTTTAGCCATGTCAATATGCAAGGTTGGCAGACGAGGGATATCTTACAATGCAAATACCAGATAATTAATTCCTCGTCCTTTTTGACTCGTCATTCAAAGTCCTTCTCCGAGACGATGCAGAACATACAAAATATTAATGATTAATCCGTCGTCCCCTTTGGGCCTCGTCATAAATCTGTTTTGAACCAGTACAAAAAAAGAAAAAAATATATACATAACATTTCACTCACATTAGCCAAAACTCGCAGTGAGTAATTTTTTCCTTGTATGTATATTATCATGTACATTGACTTATCTGGAACCTCCTTCTTCAAGAACTTTTCCCGCCTTTAGCCATCTTGTTTTCTACTTTTGGCGCGGAACTTTTTCATTGATTCCTACTACGGGATAATTTACTTGTTTTTCCTGCATTTAATAAAAATTACTCTTGTTGGAATCCAGTCTTTTTCTGTCATTCTGTGTCGGCTATCTTAATATATTTTATTTTATGCACGTGCGGATTAACCACATTTCTTCGTTGTTCATTCACGCACATTTTTATTTTTTTTACTTTGCTTGTAGACTCGGTAGTTTAGTGTGGTGTCTGGCACAAGGCCACTTAGTAATAAACCAGCACTGCACCCTACCGGGCCTGCAACACTCTCTTCGGTGAACAATTTAAACAGCAAGTTATTTCAACTTATTTACGATAAATTTTATTCAGAAGTTTAAAAACTACAAATTGCAAGTGAAGTTTACAGTTTCCTTTCACTAAACAAATTTCAAAATCCTTCTCATACGAACTTTCCAGTCTATAACACTTTTTTTTTTATCGAAAAACATTCTTTTTTCATTGAGACTGAACTTTATTTCATGAACTGAAATCTTTTCAGTGACTTTAGATAAAAATGTTTTCTCTTAAAAGGCTTTAAGAATTTTCAGGTCTAAGAAATTCTGCAATTTAAGCGCCTATTGGCTGATTTGTAACGACCAATTTCATTGGTCGAATTTTGACTTTGCTTTTCGCGGGCATTTTTAACGGCCCGTGCCCTTTTTGATTCAGTTGCGGAAAATTGTTGGAAATGTCCGGACTCATTTTTGAATATCTTTGCAGGGCTATTAGCGCCCGAGAACAAGCCTAAATAATTAGGCTATGATTCCTTTCAGCAACCAAATGGTAATGCTTCAGAGACGACTTCATGTCCCAGCTTAATTCCTTCAAGGCTGTAGAATTCAGTCATAATGACTGTCGTCAAATGTGTACGTTTACACGAAGAACTTTATGAATGATCTCGACAACAGCCGAGTTTCTACTCCACCAACGACCAGCAAATACCAGCTTCTCCAACTTCGTAGAGACCAATTGTGTCCTACTGAAGTAAAAGACACTACCTATTCATTGAAGAACTACCCCGCCCTGTTCCCAGGGGCAAAAAAGGGCAAAATCTTTTTTTGCAAGGATACAATAAAATTTGTTTTAAGTTTTAAGGTAGGCCTTGTTGAATTGTTTGGCTTTCTTGTCTCTGCCAAGGGTTGAACTGTGTGAGAAGAAATTCTCACACAGTTAAAGGTAAAAAAAAAAAACTCCTGCTATTAATTACAACTTTTACAATATAAAAATCACACACTTGATTGATTTGTATGTCATACAATAAAATGAAGATTGTTTGTTATTATAAAAACAGTTTTTGTGTTGTTCCTCTTGTTTGTTTGTTTTGTTTTGTTTGTTTTTTTTGGGGGGGGGTGCTGACACATTTGTAAAGTAAAAAAAAAAAAAAATTACGGCCGTTCAAACCGTTACACTCTTTTTCTCTTTCCACCGGAAACAACACTGTATTTAAAAAGGCACGGTGGAGTAATGAATTGAGGAATCGGAGAGCCGAGTTCGAATTCCAGTCGGATCCATTACATTCACTTGCATGCTAATAACCTTGGGAAAGATATGAATCCTCTTCTTCTTCCTCCAGCTATGGGTTAAATAGCATGACGGACGTGTGGAAATCGGTCTAGGAGAAGGGAAACTCTGAATTCAATCCGGCTTGGAGAGGGTTAGGTTCCGTCAGGCTATGTTGCCCAAGAAATACCACTTCTACTGCGGCTGCAGTACGTGTGATGCCCCTACGACCCTGATAGGTCATGGGATTTGCGCGATCTTTTCCTCTGCTTCGTTTTGTCACTCTCTTAAAAAAATCTTAACGGAAGTTAACACACTGGAAATTAAAAAAAAAAAAAAAAAAAAAAAAAAAAGCCCGTTAGAGAAATCATTTACGAGTTGGCACACAATATTCAAATTCGGTTCAACGTTAATAAAAAAAAATTGTTTTTTAGTCAATTAAGAAAACGCATTAAAAGAAAATAAAGAAACCTATCTATCCAATCCATTTTTATGGATGACGATTTTCAAAAGGACACAGCAGCATAGCTACACGCAAATTGTGCCCAAGCAGTACAAAAGGCAGGAGTTACAATGTTTTATTCGCGCTTAAAAGCTCTTCTTGGGGGTGTAGGGGACCGTGGATGTGATGCTGTTGAGTAGACGTAGAAGAACACATGTGGGGTTCAGATTTTTCTGCTAGCCGGTCCAACTACATGAAA